GATTCTCATTCATTATCATTTTTATTTGACCCTAGATGACTTCTAAATGATTTATATTGCCTTTTTGGTATCATAAAAGCTTGAAGGCTTTTGACGAGTGAACAGTTGGCCCCGAAACTTACAGAATATCCTGGGTTGAGTGCACCACAACAGGAGTGGCAAGATAGGAATTCCAATATTGTTGTATGTCAGGAACACAAGATCAAGGTGTACACTGTCTTGTGTCAAGTTTGGTTGCACATCCAAAACACTGTCAGTAATTTCAACAAATAATTGTTTTCTACCATGGTACAACATAGTTTTTTTTCTCTGCAGAGAATTATGACATTATGCCATCTAATGTATGACGTACATGCCCGTATCCAGGATTATGAATGGGGGGTTCTTCCCACTGCTTGAGGGGACCTTGAGCGCCGTAGGCGCGATGTTCCTAGGGGGTCCGGGGGCATGGTCCCCTGGAAAAAATTTTATTCAATGACAAAGGGAGCAGTTTTTCTACGATTCCAGGCCATCTTTTCAAGAAAAATCTTGGACCTTTACATAAAATGTGGACCGAAAAGTGGACCTTTACATAAAATGTGGACCAAAAAGTGGACCTTTACATAAAAAGTGGACCAAAAAGTGGACCTTTGGGCCTTGTGAGGGGGTTCTTCCGACCCCCCCCTGGCTACGGGCATGACATACTTCGCTTTATGTATCCTTGCATTTATACAGCCTCAAAACACATCAGGAAGGAGAGGCATCTTATATTGATTTGAATTTTGTGGAGATACATTCTGGTTTGGTTGAAAGTTAAGGATATGTCAGAAAACAAATATGTTAGTGAATGTTCAGTGTTGCATTTGGTTGAAGTGTTACTGGTATGGATTTCAACTAGAACTTATCAGGGTTCTCCCCAGCTTCTGTCATCTCTTAGGCCACAGCAAGTAAATTTTATGGATGATATCCTTTGCAGACTCCAAATCTAATGCGAGCAGGCGAAAAAAAAACAACAAAGCGGGCAGAAAAAAATATGTTCGGCGACGGGCTACATTTTAAAATTTCGACTCAATCATTGTACAAATGGTTTCTATTCAGTGGGAACATCACATGTACACAGCCAGCATCACATATCACTGCAGGAAAGTAAAAAAAAATTGAATCAGAGCCTTTTCTTGTCTCCTTTCTTCATAGTTATCTGCCATCCACCTTCCGGCATGGCAACAGACATCTTTGTCCATCATTTCAGCATGTTGACCACTGTCAGAGAGCAACAAAATTTCTTTTTCTTTTTTCAAAATCAGGCAAAAATTAATGCGTGCGCTGATGTCATACATAAAAATTACTTGCTGTGGCTTTATTAGGGTGACAATGATTCTATCCAAACTGGCAGGAATCATTTGGAAAACATTGCAAATCACACAAGGTGAGCATGGGTTAATGTGCACCTGGACAGAACCCTGGAGTAGAATATTCTATTAATTTTCACATGAAACATGTGAAGTCTGTCTTGTTAGAAGTCATTGGTTAAAGTTGATTTGGAAAACAATATTTTGATGAGTAAACATTGCTGACACCACATGTGTACATGCTCCTTGGACGTGATAACTCCAGCGTAGTTGTAGTGAGATATAATATTGACAGATATAGATCACGATTATTGCTGTGTATTTCACTTCAGTGTAGCGCCTTGCACCCATGCGTAATGGCTCACGAAACTTACGGCAGGTTTTTGGTCATTTTGCCGGTGGAACGTTCTAAATTTCTATGGTACTACAGTATAACCAGAGTTTTAATATCTCACACTAGGGTTTTTTGTACGGCTCTTGGTATCGTTTAGAATATTTGGGTTCCTATCAACTTGGAACTGCAGTGGAAATGATGAATTTCTGTTATTTTCTTGGCATGTAAATGAGTATTGGCCTATTGAAATGCTGATTATACAAATCAGGTACTAATGTGCATTATTGATGAGATATTGTTTTCTACTGCATTCCTTAATGGGAGCCTGAAGGGGGGGGGTCCCGACAACGGAAACTTCTCGATTACGCTTTACGATAAATTCCAAGTGGCTACAACGCATTATGTAGAATTAAAACGGCGAATACTAGTACGCTCTATGCAAAATGCGCCAATTACGCTCTACATTGAAGTGGCCCGTCTACGCTCTACGTAGAATCAAAACAGCCGATTACACTCTACGGAAAAGGGCTTGCGGGCCCCCCTTAATAGGACTTTCAAACAAATGACACAAGTAACTTAGAAACAGATTACTACAGTTTATTGATTTGAATACTAGTAGATAGACATGTTGGCCTCTAGTGTGCTAATGGCCATAAGTGACTGCTGGTAACACATAGTTGATTTTACCTGATGGAGAAATGCACAATAACACTGGGCTCAATCTCAAAAGGACTTTATTCAGGTTCTTACAAAAATCTCCTCCACACTATCCTGTCATCTGGAGTCTGTGTACACAGCAAGGTTATGTGGCGGTTTCTTCCATATTCACAATGTCTTTGTGGTAGCAGCAGTTCTTTTTTTTCATGTGCCTAGCTGCATAAACGTACAAACAGGAGCAAATGTGGGGGATGTGGAATTTCAAAGAAAAAACAACAACATAAGTCTGCTTGAGGTGTCTACTACCAACATAATGTGCTTGGACACAATATACTCTTTTTTCCTATTTACAATATATACAACATGATGGATACAAAAGTACTAACAAAAATATCGAAGTGTCTTTACACTTGGCATATAGTAGTACCATGAGGAAAGTTACATGTACCTATAGCTTCAGTTGTGTTGAACCAAAAGTGTGGTTCGTCAGGTTTCTGAATGACAGATTATATAACAAAGCCTGAAAATCTTGTACAACACAGCTATAAGGCCACACCGAGTTAATCTTATGGATGACATCCTCTGAAGACCCCCAAACTAGTGCGCGCAGGCGAATAAAAAAAATTCTGACCAAAAATAAAAATGCTACTAAACCACAGGAATACAAAGCTAGTATGATAATTGTGAATTTGCGACAGTACATAGAGACGTATACGACAAGGCGGCACATGCTGGCCTTTTGCGAAAATCTGCACTGTGTGTACTGAGGTCTTGAGTCGTAGAGCTTCGGTAGCCTGTGTGCCCAGCTCCGTATTGTTGCTAACTACCATGGACTACCCAGGCCTAAAGCCAGGCCAGAGCCTCGGTGGACGTGATTTTTTTTTGGAGAACAGGCGAAAAATCAATGCGGATGTCATCCATAAAATTAAGTCGGTGTGGCCTAACATGATGTTTAGCTTCCGGTACAAAGTACGTCTAGTCTACACTAGGTGTCGGCCCATATTGCACTCTTGGAGCAGTCCTGTTACGTCCTGTCTACCTATGGCTCTCAACGCCTCGCACAAGTTCTCAACTGTGGCGTTCTCCATTCTACTCCAATGAACGAGAAAGGCTTTGGCTGCTCCCGGACCGTTGTTGTTCCCTGCTCGAATTCATCGATGGCGGCGATGTCGTACCCCAGCTCAGTCGCCAGATGGCGCCAGTTTACCGGATGCTGCAGACTCAGCGTGAAGACGAGGTCACGGACACGGCCGGCAGACAGCTCACTGACTCGAGTCTTCCCACCTGTGAGGACAGGGTGATGTTAGAACGACTCTCATTACATATTTCACAAGCTTGCATAGTCTTATCATGTAATGCAGCTGATACATAGAATTTCCTAAAAAGTTACGAAAAATACATCCATATTTGCATAATTGTCCCATAATCATGTCAAGCATCATTTAAGCTACTTACACACCAAAAATTATGACGATGTGTCGACCAGTTCTTGAGTTATCCTCTTTTGAATATTTTTTAACAAAAGCCCCTGCAGTTCCAGAGCAAGCAGCTAAGGGGGGGCAAACTCACCCCACTTCTTCCCAAGCACAAGAGCTATCTACCAACCAAATTTCGTGACCCTAGTATGTCTAGATCATGAGATATCAAAAACCGGAAGTTCAGCTGCAGTACCATAACAAGCTACTAGGGGCCCCAAAATCTGATCATTTCAAGGTCTCAGTACCCACCTACAAAATATCAAGACAATCCATTTAAGCCTTCTCGAGTTATCGTGTTTACAGACACACACACACACACGAACGCCTGAAAAACATAACCTTCTTGGCGAAGGTAATAACTTACTGGTGGGACTGGTGCAGGGATCCACACACACGCCGCTGTCGTTGTTCTGGTGCTTCTGAGCTTCTACATCGTGAGGCTGGGCGGCAGACTTGGTGGTCTGCGGTCTGTGGCAAGTCTTCCACCTACAGAAGTAAAGAGGCAGTTGTCAATTTCATACCTCATTACAAATGTTAGTCTCACAACATATACAGTATAATACACATAGAATCGCCTGGTCATTCAGTCTCACTGGAAAAAGTAAGAATCTTGGACTCAGAACTGGATTTCTTTGCACGAGGGATTAAAGAGGCCATCTACATCAGGACATTACAACCATCCCTCAACAGAGACGGGGGGCGCCACAGACTTTCTGCAACCTATGATCCACTGCTCACGGAGTCACGTGTGTTATCTGCGTGACATCACGGAAGCAGTGGATTGCTTCATTCCTTGACAAAGACTGGAGTTGTACAGTCGAAAATTTGGTTCATTGGTCCATTTTTGTTGTGTTGGAAATTACAGTTTAAACTTCCTTAATAACAAATGTTGCCGGTCCGTTTCAACTCTTTTTAGGTTTTATTCTATTCACCAACATTCCTGTACAAAATAAAACTGACCATGTACGGATCAGACTGCCTTTTGCTGAGTTATCAAACAAGTCTTATAGGGGGCTCCCAGGACCATAATTTATTGCTCTGACGGTAAAAAGCAAGGAGTTTAAAACACTATTTGTACCTTCATGTAAAAAAGAACACAAAAGCTTTGTCAGGCCTGTCAACTGGTTAGAGGTAATAGGTATCAGACATGCCCTTTACTATGCCTTAGTGCAGGCATGTGAGTTTTGAAAGGCTTGTTGCCTTCGACAAGAAGGCTATGAAATCGTTTTGGCACTGTTTGGCAGATTATGCACGATAAATTTTGAAGGCATGGTCCGATTTTTGGCAGGCAGGTTGTCTTAGTAATGGGCATTGTCAAGGCCAAAAATGGGCTTCGTGAATGGAGTTGACCTTTTGTGTTTGTGCTTTTTGTTGTTATTTTTTGTGTTATCAAGTTAACTCGGGAATCCTTAAATGGCTGTCTATGATTTTTAGTTGGCAAGTTACCGTTGAGAATACGGAAATCAAGTTCGGAAATCGTTGGTCCCCTCACACATACCGTTTGACGGCCACATAGACGATGAGTCCGACCACCACAGCGCCCATGATGGTGCAGTACACCGGGATGATGTTCTGTCCAGAGGCGTCCTTCAGCGTCAACAGGCCGTCTGCGGGCGTCGTCCTGCCCACCTTTCCACCGATCAGCTGGGGCATGTTCTTATCTGAAACCACAGGAATAAAGTCGGTCATTATTCCGCCAGGTAGAAGTTCAGCATAGATGGAGGCAGAGTAGCCGTGTCAGAAGCTCTCACTTGTGGGGTCGTGTGGCGTAGCGGCAGAGTGCGCGACTCGGAACTAAGAGTCCCGGGTTCGAGTCCTGACATGCCTTGGGAAAGGCACTTTACACGACTTTTCTCTCTTAGCTCAGATGTAAATGAGTATTGTCCTGTCATGTATTTGTCCCCTGTGTTGGTGGCGGCATAATATAAGTTGAAAAAACTTGAGTGTGTCGTCACCACGTCTGGTGATTACATGTTGGAATAAAAAAAAAGCTCTCACTGCCAGGCCGGGCTAGTTGGAACGCGATTTCAGTAGAACTAGAAAAGTTGTAGCCCGTACTAGTACTACAGGTTGAGTCGACCTTCGGCGGTTTGACCATTATTTCCCACCGCAAGTGTCCTTATGTTACGAAACGGTTTATCACTGAGAAAACCGCGAAAACTACGCAATATCAACGCCGTACAGAAAAAGCTGAAGAGCGGTCTCATTACCCCAGGAAGAGGCTACCTTAGTACCCATTGACCGACTACATGGTGAGATGTATGCACCTATTTCCACTTGGCTTTATATCTGTCAACAGAACTATAGTGCTCTCTGTAATACTGTAAAGAAATTACAACTGTGAACTGTTGTCAAGACAGACCGTCAGGTCTATGGCTATGAACGATGAATATGATCATCTCTTTTCAACATATGTCCTGTGTGGCGCATGGTTATTGCCATATTAGCTTGACTGGGTTGAAAGCTTTGATGTTACACGCTCTGCATCCTGCCTAGCCATATATAATATTAGTAACTGCCGTGCGAGGCTGCCCGGACCCGGCCGGAGGGGCGGAAGACAAACGCCGGATTCCTGGCAGCTCGCCCCGGGACAGACATCCGCTCAAGCCGCTACAACCACTGGGTAACAACTGATATCCTCTGGTCAACATAAAACAAGTCATATCTCAACACTCTGGAACGTTTTTCCGCAGATACACCGTTGAAGCGCGTGGGCTAGCATGCACACGCACGCACACACACACACACACACACACACAGCAACACACGCACACACAGCGACGCACACACGCACGCACACACACACACGCGCACACGATTGGCATACATGTAGTTATCTTGGTGTTTCGCTGACTGTTTTGATATTAACTTCTCCTGCACTAATTATGACGATTTTATCAAGATTTCTTGTCTTTCAGTTTCAACAGCTTTCGCTACTGTTGAAGATTATTGCCTTCGACTGAAGGCTATGCCTTCGGAGAAGGTTATAAAATCGGGTTTGCACTGTTTGGCAGATTAGGCACGATAACTCTTGAAGGCAAGGTCCGAGGTTCACGATTTTTGGCAGGCAGGTTGATTTAGGGGTGGCCATTGTCAAGGCTAAAAATGGGCTTCGTGGGGGGTTCCTAAGTCACTGTAGTTGACCTTGGTTTTTGGTGTTTTTTCCTTGTCATCAAGATATCTCGAGAATCCTTAAATGGATGTTCATTATTTTTAGTGGGCAAGTTACCGTTGAAAATGCCGAGGTCAAGTTCAAAGATGGGCCCCGTGGGGGTTTCTATGTCACTGCAGTTGACCTTTGTTTCTTGTGTTTTTTCTTGTCATCAAGATAACTCGAGAATCTTTAAATGGATGTTCATGTTTTTTAGTTGGCAAGTTACCATTGACAATACCAAGGTCAAGTTCGGATATGGGCTTCGTGGGGGGTCCCCACGTCATTGAATTAGAAAGTACTGCAGCGAAACTTCTGGTTTTTAAATCTCGTGATATGGACGTGCTAGGGTCATGATTTTTAGATGGTAGGTAGCTCTCGTGCTCAGAAAGAAGTGCTGTAAGTTTGGGCCCCGTAGCAGCTTATTTGGGAAATGCAGAGGCATTTGTTTGAAAATGTTTGAAGTAGGATAGCTCAAGAACCGGTTGACGGATTGTTGTTATTTTTGGTATCTCGGTAGCTTAAGTGATGCTTGACCTAATTAGATGAAAATTATGCAAATCACAATCTAATTTACATAATTAATGACAAAAGTCTATAAATCTGCTGCGTTCCATGATAGAACAATTGAAATGGTGGCATATTTAAACAAGAGGAAGAGGAACATTGACAGATATTAATTATGTAAATTGTGACCCAATTTGATTAATTAATAAGAGAAATCTATATGTCTTTCATACTGCACTAGACCTTTTTGGTTTCCACCCTCTGTGGATTACATTGCTTTATGCCCACAAGGATAGCTGGAAAAAACTTTCCTGTTTGTTGAAACAACAGAATCCTTGCGAAATTGGCGAAAGTGGCGCTTAATGCTGCATTAATACTGAAAGTTTTAATACTGGGTTAATGCTGGGTTAACGACTCGGCCAGCCTTCAAACACACATAGATACATCATTCATAATGTACAATGTAGAAAAGGCAATCTTTCTTTTTATTAATATTTGTTACATGTACTGGAGCAACTGCATAACTCTTGTAAAATTTGTAAACCCTGACACAAGACTGCACAAATGTACACGCTAATGTTGTAGGGAATACAGGAAACCTATTCATATCTAGGTTAAAACAACAAGTTACAGACAGGAAGCTGTCAACATTGGTTTTAGTTGAAAAAACGTTTTCTTTGAAATTGTTTGTTGAAAAAACATTAGTGGCCCAGTGCCCCAGCAGAGCGTGCTTTATTTGACAGGTCTGTGGCCCCCAGTGTGAACATCTGGAATTAGCCTGGTTGCCAGACCCATAGCACACTGGACACAAAGTATCTCAGTTTGGCACCCAGGTAAATCTGGAATATGGATAATGTGAATAGGTTTCCCGTAATACCTACAACATTAGCATGTACATTTGTGCAGTCTTGTGTAGTACATTTGTGCATATCGTATCGTAATGCAACAGGAGTTAAAGATTTAAACCCGATATAAGGTCACAAACTTTGTTTTAATCGATAACATAGTTGGTATACTGTACACAATGGCCAGGTCACTAGAAGGAAGTGGTCTGAACGCATTGAGCAGTATCTAATCTTTATAAGCTTTGTGGCTTTAGCGAGGAGCACGGCGGTATTCTATGAATGACTTTGGGTTTGATGCCTGTAATCTTCTTCATAATGGGTCGTGTGGAGAGGGAATAGAGAAGCCCTGCCATTGAAAGGATAGATTTTCACGACCATATTATGGTCCGATGGGCCCCCACAAGAAAACTAACATAGCCAAACTGCGTCGCCAACCTGAGAAATAACCAGTAAATAACTACTAGTTCAAAAATTGAAGATTGTTAAATTGCAACTAGGATACATATTTTATTTGAATTCTATCCAGGATAAATTGCATTGACAGGATAGACTGGGACGGTTAGGTAGGTCACCCGAGGCTGACCTCAGCCCTGCCAGTCGTACCTCTGGGAACGTCCCCGGAGGACCTGGGCTAATCTATACCACTATCCGGGCTGGAATAGAAAGTCGGGCTGTTTCCTGCTAAAAGTTTGATACGACGGCCCCTCTAACAAGTAAGGCATATATGATAAATGAGTTTCTCTTTGTGGAGGAAGATTAACTTTCTACCAGGCACCATGGATCACTGGAAAAATAGTAGAAAACGGCCAAAATAAAGGGAATAGTATGCCGCTAAAGGGTCAGATAGCCCGCTAGAGAGATACAACTCACCGGGAGGAACCCATTTATCTTACATACCACATACCATCACAACAATTGGCCAGTTTGTGTGATTTTGTAACTTGCAATTGTCTTCAATGTATTGGACATCGCACGCTTCAACAACACTGGCTGCATAGAAGAATAATTTAGTTGAAGGAGTTTTTGCCGTTTTGAAGTTTGGATCACCGCGTATCGGAGGGAAGAAAACAACCTTTCGCGGCCAGACTCCCCAGGCCAATTCTCCTCTTCTTTTTGCCGAATTCAACGATCCGTATTTCCGTAGAAAGACATGGTACAGGCTTGGTGAATAGTCTGTTGCTTCGTTCACTACGATAATCATCTTCACAAAAAACCTACACTATACACACACACAACACCCACCAAAACAATATCACACTGTCGAAGGCATGAGACCTCCGAACTCTAGTGTTGTTATGAACTCGGCATTGAACACAGACTGCCTGCTAATTTAGCGGCGGCGTTTTTTTTTAAATCTGCATCTGGAAAAGATATCACCTTCTAACGAGAACACGGGCATGGTGAGCTCTACTGCCTCATTCCGCCAAATTACCCTTGAAACGCCGCGCCCGCTAACAAGCCAAATCCGCGACCTGCAACCTTCCTCACCTAACACGAGCTTCCCTCCAGTCTGCACATTAGTGGGACGTTGGGGAGTATTAAGTTTTGGACAAAACACTCGCCCCGTGGCGCGAACATCAGTCACACGCGTAGCCGCTAAACTACATGGGCTTCTGTCGGGGTTTAGACCGGGTGATCCCTTGTTAGGCACCGCAAAAACACAATGGCTTCCTTTTCTCTACTCTCCAAGCAGAGGTTTGGGTTTTGGGGGTATTTCTAGCGTGTTTTTAGGCATTTTTTAATCGGGGTTTCTCTTTTGCACTGAATTTTTTCCCCACCAAACCCTCTGCTTGGAGAGTACAGTAAATACAGACGTTGGGTTTGGTGGGAAAATTCAGTGCAAAAGAGAAACCCCGATAAAAAAAGCCTAAAAACACGCAAAACCCAAACCTCTGCTTGGAGAGTACCTTTTCTCAGCACATTCTTCAAGCAGATGTTAGGGTTCCGTTTTCGTAGCTGTCTTTTTTTGGGAGTCAAAATGCGTCTACAAAGTTGCCTACAAGTACAAGCCATCTAGGTCAGCCTGGCCGCCGGTGTTCCAGCCCGACACTGGGTCTAACCTGGCAGCGGCCTTTTCGCCCGCAGCGAGCGGACTCCTCACAGGAATGTTAATCCTGCTGAATGTGTTCCTCGTTAGAGTACAGCTATTAGGGATGACAACACATACAACTAGCTAAAAACTTCAGAAAGCGTTGTTTCCCGAAAGAGGGCACAATTATATACTAGTGTCTTGTCTCAACCAGACCCCATGGACAGTTAAGTTGGGGGGAAATTTTTGTTTTTCTTTAATTCGACATAGAGGTTTATAGCTCCAGATAGGACAGAAGACGTCATCGGAAAGATAACTAATGGCTCCTCCCCGCCCACGTGCTCTGGTCTGTGAGATAAGGCCACAGCAAGTAATTTTAATGGATAACATCAGCGCGTGCATTAATTTCCGCCTGATTTTGGAAAAAAAATTGTTGCCCTCTGACAGTGGTCAACATGTCGAAACGTAGATGGCCGATAACTGAGGAGACAAGAAAAGCTTGTGATTGAATGTTTTGTTTTTTACTTTGATGCAGTGATATGTGATGGTGGCCGTATGTATGTGATGTTCCCACTGAATCAAAACCATTTGTACAATAATTGAGTCAAAATTTGAAAATGTAGCTAGGAACCTTGTTTTTTTTTCGGTCCGCCTTGTTTTTTCCGTCCGCTTGCATTAGAGTCTGCGGAGGATGTTACCCATAAAATTTACTTGCTGTGGCCAAAAGTTCACCTGCGCCATCAGGCGTCTGATCACACTGATTGGCAAGCGGACTCACAGTACCAATACGGCGGTCTTTTTGCCAAGGATGTTACGTCTGCTTGAATATCTCCGCACACATATCGTATGTTGGTTATGGTACCCAATGTAATGAAGTTTTAGGTTGAAATAAGATTTTTTCAAAGTCAATAAATATTTTTGTCGCTTATCATAATAAAGTTGAAACAACACTATTCCAATGTATATCAACTTTCATGGAGCAAACATTATGACCGAAAACGGTTACTAGTATGACCCTGGACTGATATTTGGGGTAACACCCAGGAAACAAGAATTCGGAGATCTCGTACCTCCATAAAAATGTAGTTTATGTAAATGTTTTTGGAGGATTTGTCTCATTCGAAAATAAGATCAAGAAAATATTCTAGTTAAATTTATGGTTTTCTAAACTCAAATTATAATATTTTGCTTTTGAAATTCCTATCTTCTGGCAATATTTCAAGTCAATATTTCAATTAATTATGCAGATGACCTCTATATTAACATAATGAATGCATATTAATATTAACCTTTAAGTAACTTACACATTAGTGAGTACTTACCTAAACAGATGGTGTCCGATATAGACGTGCAAGTTTGCAGCATGACCTGGTTGTCTGTACACCTGGTACACGCCAGGCACTGTGCGCGGGGACTGTCCACGTCAGAGTACGTCATGTTGGGGCAGGCGACACAGCCGGAGTCCTGCCGGGGACTGCAGGCCTCCAGCGCGCCGAACCCGGGCGGACAGATCTGACACCGCTCGCACTGTTCAGTCTCCGGATCCCAGTAGAAGTCAGCCGAACACTCACACACGGTGTCGTGAGTTCTGTTACACACAGACGCGACCTCCATGTTGGGCCCGCAGGTGGAGCACTCGTGACAGGCCTCGGTGTGTGAGCGGGAGTTGGAGAAGGTCAGCCCGGGAACACACGCCGTGCAGCCCGTGCCGTTCCCGTCCGTGCAGGGCGTGCTCACCCCCTCACCTGGCGGGCACTGCGAGCAGCACGCGCCGCTGGAGTCGTAGTGTTGGCTGGGACACGCCGCCGACACGCACACCTGCACAGGACACACAGGACGGTACCGATTGGAAATAGTTTCAACCAACATACAACACATCTAACTAACATACAACCAACATACACCACATCTAACCAACATACACCACATCTAACCAACATACAACACATCTAACCAACATACAACACATCTAACTAACATCCAACATCCCACAATAGTCGAAGAAGGACTTGTCTTCTCAGTAAAAATAGGCATAATTCAGAAAACCGTAATAAAGTTTTTATTTTTATTTTATTTTATCACAACGTAGCCTGGATACATTGTCACTTGCATAGTAAGAAACCCAGACCCTTCCGTCTAGCCTGTACTAGGCACCGCAGATCGCTGAAAAAAATAGTAGAAATTGGCCGAAAAGTGATAGTGGGTCGCGGATCTTCTATGACTCGGGATCTTCTCTTTATTTCGGCCAATTTCTACTATTTTTCCAGCGATTCGCGGTGCCTGGTAGAGGCTACCTTTCGTCCTATATTGTTGAAAACAGTTCGTATCTGTATAACCGGTGTTCAGAGACTCACAGGTCTATAACGTAGGCACGTACTGTATTTAGTGTACTCTCCAAGCAGAGGTTTGGGTTTTGGCGTGTTTTCAGGCTTTTTATCGGACTTTCTTTCATTTTTAGTGCACTAGTATCTTTTACGCCAACCCAACGCGTAATAAAAGATACCAGAAGGTTTCAATTCTACTACTGATGTTTGGGCGATAGAAGTGACGAGATTTACGGTGTCGGATTCCATCGAAAATACGCGACACGTGCCGCGTGTTAGTTTATTTGTTCAGGGGTTTATTCTGTTGTGTGGCTGGATTTCAGGAGTAGGACCGAGTCCTTTGTTACATAAATAAATAAATACCACTCCGAACTCCAGGTGATATGTGGAGCCGTTGCGTATGTAATGTGAAGTACGTTTCACCTTTATGAAAAGAAATACTAGCAACAGATACTAGTATTTTGTGTTACAGAGCGTACCCTACGTACCCGCAAAATTTTATGCTGTTTTAGTCGGCGTCTCTGTTCACGTTCAAAACGGATGCAATTGATTTGGTAGACAAGATTTTCCATTCACGTCCCAAACCGTGTCCAGGCTCTAATCGGCTTAATCAAGTTCATCAACAGAGGTCGGGGTCAAAGCGTGTTTTTAGCGTGTTTTTAGACTTTTCTGGGTTTCTTTTTTGCACTGGAATTTTTCTTCCACGTGCTTTTGGGTTGTTGAAAGAAAGAAAAATTCCAGTGCAAAAAGGAAACCACGATAAAAAAAGTCTAAAAACATGCCAAAAATAACCCAAAACCCGAACCTCTGCTTGGAGAGTAGCTGAGACAACCACAAGACCAGCACAAAACCAGATTTCAGGCCATTTAAAATCGATTCGGCGCGAAGTTTAGATCGTGCTCTTATTGGGTCAATAAAAAAGATCAGTTTGATTTTGCGGCACCGCCGTCATCATGTCAGCGCCATCAGGCCACGGCAAGTGATTTTTATGGATGACATCAGCGCGCGCATTAATTTTCGCCTGATTTCAGGAAAAAACAACAAGAAGCCATAGGCGACAATTCTCCGTGAAGTATTATATATTGCAACAAAAAGAAGTAGCCATTGGCGACAATTCTCTGTGAAGTGTGATAAATCGAACAAAGAAAAATTGTTTAAACGCGCGTCGGCTCAGTCATCTTAAGACGCAACAACCAATCAGAGATGCGAGATGCCTACACGTGACGCGGGAAGGGCGCGCGATGCCCGAAATATTTTTGCGTCAATATTCAGCGCCGTGATTCAAGAGATTAATACCCGGAAACAATTTTTTTCTTGTTTTGAACGCATTAACATGCATTTACGCTAATCTAGTATGATTCAGGGTTACTTTTTTTTTAACCTGCCATGGCCAGATTATCTAAAGATGTGTGTATTGTGTGTACAATCTATAGAAAGAGAAATGTACATCAGGTCCGATCATCCGATTTTCACGTTTCGGTTTTTTGGACTCGGTTCATGAACGTATTTTGGTTTGGCTCCTGGAATGTGCAAAAAAATGACTCCCGGGACTGTCTACAGGGAACACTCGCACATTCGCGGTGTATCAGGACAGCGCGACTGGTCGTCATTAGCGCAGTAACAGTTGCATAAACGGACGAAACCACTTCAAAGAAATGGGGATGTTTCGAAAATAAGCATTTACTCCAATATCAAAACAGCTACGGTAAAAATAAAAAGACGTGCATCATCCCGGACATAATGCAACACCACATGCGAAATTACACAGAAATGCGACGTACGGAAGAATGCGTTTTGGCTGCGAACATCTTCCAAAAAACTTGGCATCTCTTAACCATGGGCAAAAACATCTGGAACCACTTATAAAAACCACCCCGTATCTGCATGAACTTTTTTGAACCCCACTGCTATTCCAAACAACGCGTTTTTCTGGACCATTCCAATTCGCCTCGTAATTGTAGGGGTGCGTCTGCGATATTACATTGACCGCGAAAGCAGCAACGGCAAAAATACACATTCGTGCATCAACACGGGCATGCCCGCAGACGGCGTATAAAATTGCGTGCCGATTACACAAAGAGAACCCAGTGTTTTGACTGCGAACATGAAAAATCAGCCGATTACAACACTCCGTCCGGAGGTCCTGACCTCCTTCACGGAGTAATAAATTCTATTGCCTTCTGACAGTGGTCACCATACCAAAAATGGGCAAAGATGTCTGTTGCCATGCCAGAACGTGGATGGCAGATAACTATGAAGAGAGAAGACAAGGAAAGGGTCTGATCTAATGTTTTGTTTTTTACTTTGATGCAGTGATATGTGATGTTGGCTGTGTATATGTGATGTTCCCACTGAATCAAAACCATTTGTACAATGATTGAGTCAAAATTTTAAAATGTAGGAGCCTTGTTTTCTTCGGCCCGCCTTGTTTTTTTTCGCCCGCTCGCATTAGATTTGGAGTCTACGGAGGATGTCATCCATAAAATTTACTTGCTGTGGCCTCATGTTCAAATACACCCACATCCTCACTCCTGTTGTCTGACACTGTCAGGAGTGGTGAACGCTATCTGGTACAGTGTCGTGACTGACTGACAACAGTTGTTGGTCAGATTTCACGGCCATGTTCCGGCGTGTTTCCCAAAGACAACCCCTCCAACCATGGACGTGTCTGCCCTGAACCACATCATCACACCCCGCCTGACCTCAGTACAGACAAGTCTGTCAGCTGTCAGCGCACACAGATACTAGATAGCTGAACTTGTCGAGTGGAGTCTTGTGTTGTTCGGTTACATCACCCATCAACTTTACTCTCCAAGCAGAGGTTTGGGGTTTGGGGGTATTTTTAGCGTGTTTTGAGGGGGGGTAGTGACTACGAGTTACGCAAAATTTTCGCCGCCAATGACGAATTACGTTTAAGTCTCAGACCTGATTACATCTTTACGCTTTGCGCTTTGTACTAATACGAATTACGTTGATTTTTTGGGAGGCTGCCTACGAATTACGAAGACTAAAAGGCCTGATTACGCCTTACGAAAAAGGGCATGCAGGCCCTCTTTTTTAGACTTTTTTTATCGGGGTTTCTCTTTGCACTGAATTTTTTGGGTTTAGTGGGAAAAAAATTCAGTGCAAAAGAGAAACCCCGATTTAAAAAAAAAGCCTGCAAACACGCTAAAAATACCCCCAAAATCCAAACCTCTGCTTGGAGAGTAGATCAACTTGGCAAGACATCAAAAATTAGAACTCATATCTCCATAATATATAAAGAGCTTTTTTTGTTACTGGATTTTTCTCTTGATTATGGAAAGGTTATAATCAAGCTATCCTCTGGCAAAGTTCCATTTTAACATTTTATTACTGGTATTACAGCAATCATGCAAATGACCAACACATCAACCAAATACATGCATAGCGACTACCAGTATAATTTACACATGTTAAAAGTATGACATGCCCATCATCAAAAGTTTACCAACAATAAAACATCTTCGCCATTATGCAAATTAGATCTTTACAGTGCCCTTGGGAAAGGCACTTTACATGACTTTCCTCACTTAACTCAGGTGAAAATGAGTACTAGTATTGTCTTGTCCCCTGTATTGGTGGCGGCATTAATATAAGTTGAAAAAAAAAAAACTTGAGTGTGCCGTCAACACTCCCAGCATCACACAAGCACAAGTTAATACCTGAGAAACAACTGACTCTGAACTGAACCAAGCGTAAAACTGAGCACCTAGAGACCACATCTAGCGTTGAAACAAGGACAACAACAACAACAACAGGCATAATTTGTATGTGTTGATGTTCTATTGTCTTATCATGTACAACACTAGAATTATAGAATCTCAATTAGTCCTCATTTGTTATACAAATTACGTCCCCATTTACTTAATTTCAATCTGATTATGTAAATCTACCTACATGCCAAAAATCAAGAAAAAAACGTCGTTCCTTCCTCGATTTATTCGCTTGGAAAGATTTTGCTATAATCAGTACAAATCTGGAACAAATGTGAGTTTACCAGTTGGTAAACGTAACTGTACTGTCATAGAGCCAGCCTAGTCTCCACCAGACTTCTTTTGCGGGCTGAATAAATCGTAGAACTCGGCCTAAAAAGGGGCCAGATAAGGTAGCCGACCAAAGAAGCTCGGCGGGGAAATGGAGCTTCTCTGGCCGGCCACCTTCTCTGGCCAATTAAAACCCTTTTTCGGCCGATTTCTACGATTTATTCACCCCGCAAATGAAGTCTGGTGGAGACTATTAAAGTCGTGCGGCCTGGAAAGACACATCAGCTGTTGCGTCCATAGCGTGCCAGGCCGCGGGCCCGACAACATTTTCCACCGACGTCTTGCTGAGTTCTCTCTGGTTTCAGGGTCGACGCAGACTTTAATGTGCGACCCCAACAAGACAATCTTGCATAGCTGCGAAGTTCCTTGCTGTGGAACCCCGTTCGGGAGAGGTCAACAGCAGAGATCTGTGTACTAGAATTAGTTTCTCACATGGCGCGCTTTTGTGGGAGAGGAAGGGGCGCCACAGAAACCGTAATCAGAGACTCTTCAAGATAGATTCCCCTTTGGAATAAAAATACAGAGAGACAACGCTATGAATAAACCAGGGATTTTTCTAAACGGGAATAAGGGAGCTGCTCCGTCATGTAACCAGCCAGCTCCCTCATATCAATTTTCAAATTGAAGTTTGAACCCTTGTGAGTGTTACTGTTATTAAAAAAATCCCCCTTCGTTCGCTTTGCTCCCTTGCCATGCTTGCGATCTGCTCCCTCATGCTAAATTTTTCTAGAAAAAACCCTGAATAAACCCTGGTCAATTCGTACATGGGACATTGTGTTTGTGGTGTACCTGTGAAGTGGAAGAAACTCTAGCACCCCCCCCCCAACCATTCGCCAAACTTTTTACAGAAAGTCACAAGAATTGATGAAAGAAAGGGTAACTGGTGCACGATTGTGCAGACATGGCCTTTCGCCTGGCTGCATTTCGGGAGGGTCGGCTCGGTGGGAAGCACATTCCAAACAGGGCTGTCATATATTAGGCTTGACGTTTCCAGTTTTTCTATCCGACTCTTTGGTCCAACTCCCACCGTGTGGTCTGTGTGGAGGGCACGGGGTCCCAGTCAACCGGGCTCCCGCCGCTCGGCTCCCAACAAACGACGAGAACAAATGGTCCAACTACTTATGAAATAGGAATGCGAGCTGCAGGCAATTTGTATGGTCACGACAAGACTGTGGGATTCTGTTCAATCAAAACTTGAATGAAGAAAACAGCAGAAGAATTTGACGTGGGCGCAATTTCAAGAACTATCTTCTTCCTTATGTAGAACTTGATGACACTGTATTGCATTGCCTTGTCACAGTCTCAAAAACAACTTCACATTTTGGTAAATTTCCATAAAATACATGTACGTTCTAATTCTTTAGCCAACTTTCGAAAGCTTTCATCCTATCGACCTGATCTCTGTTAGTGCCCTGCTACTAATATATCTACACGAGGTGATTGGAAATACGCGATGGGAATTCGCGAAGTTGTGTCAGTCTCAAACAGACCCTGGGATATTATTCAATTTATTGCGAGATGAAGCCGAAAAGAATAGAAATTAGACATTTATTTACACTCTTATATGTTCACATGTATGTAATGTATATGTTAATGTCCATGTTCTGTACCCATGCGACCTGTACTTAGTTCTGTAGAACACAAATGTACAATAAAGGTCTTCATTCGATATCGACTTCTACGTGAAATTAAATGACAAGATAATTTGATAATTTGTTGCCGCTAAGCGCGCTGTGGTTGTCCAGAAAGCGTTGTTATCAGCCCGCTATCACAGGGACATGGTACTTTGTTTGTGTCAATGGCGGTATCAAACATACATCAATGGGCTAATTTGGGGATCAGTTTCTCCATAACAAAAGGCTGACAGCGACACACATGCAAATATTGGAGCTGCTGACAAGCCGTCATCATAGCTAGACAAATCTTATGTAAAGTTTGGTGTCTGGTGAAATGTCTTTGATATGCAGCTATGGTCCTCATTTCGGCTTCTTATGACAGAATGCTAGTAGAACAGAACTCTTGTCATCTCTATTTTTGAAATGTTTCACACATATCGTAACAGTTCCGTAAATATTCAATTTTTAGTATGAAATATTGTGATTTTAATACTGTTTAATTCGAAATTATTACAACCATAATTTATAATTTGAAAGAAACCCGCGCGGTAACATGAAACGGACTCTACTAGTATCTCACTTCTGTGTGATTTTAGTACATTTATCGTGAAGTTTAAAGATATTATGAACGAACCAAAACGATGCTGAATTGAAGGACACAAAGAAAAATAACTATGGTCGTGGTATGGAAATAATATAAAATACGTCCACATAAAAGTCATATAATATTTGTCGTACAGTCTGAGAATCCCGGGATTGGACAGGCAGAAATAATTCTTACATAATTACTAATAATTTACTCATAATGTAAATGTCAGAAAATATTTCACCTTCTAAGCTTGTCATGTCAGTCGTGTTTTAAAGATTCTATAAGATTTTAAAAATTCGATGGAAGAGAACTTAAATTTTATAATATGTTGCACCTTTTCACTGTCTTCAAATATTTCTTTGCATTTTAATTTTTGCTTTAACACTTCTCCTTGACAGATGTCACTTCTGTAAGATTTTGGACAGTTTGATTTATCGGAGCGGTTAGTCAAAAGACTGGCGGTGACTCCAGCTTGTTACATACGAACAAATATTTCTCGCCAGTATGCTAAGAAGCGGAGTCAGATGTGGACAGTTGTTAACACAGACCTACATTTTAGCGTGTAGTGTACGAATGTAGCAATCTCTCAGACAAGCCATAATCATTGTCTGTGGTTCTCCGACTAAAATTATAAATTACACATTAGATAATATAATACTAAAGTATCTGGATCTGTGAGTGTCCATAATTTACAGTTGTCTGTGTCGGGTTGATATCAAAGAGGCTAGTATAGAGGTGAGAAAAGTATTCAAATTTCTGTATGCAAATGCAGCGAAAAGGTGTGGTTGTCCCAGGCATTGTCTAGTCGCACTTCAAAAGAGGCTGTGAATGGGGATCGCTGTCCTGGCAGCACATTGATGACATTGATACGGAAAAGCCTAAATACATACAAATGAGGCCGCGCGCCGAAAACAATAGCCTCCAAATCCGCGGTAACATCAAGACGGGGGAACGTCGACAATTGAAGTTTAGACTTTATTATTCTAATCTAAACGGTGGGCTATAAAACAACAGGAGGACATTGTCTTGCAGAAACTAGTCTCAATGGAGCCCTAAAATCGTGAACTGTGAGCTGCAATAAAGGGACTGCCGAAAGCAAACGTATGAATGGCGAAAACTCCGTGCTGGTCAAAAACTCGTTTCTTGTAACTCTGATGCTTTAAATGTCCGTTTCCTAACAGTTAATTTTACACTGAAGAATGTTTGGAATACGTTGAAACTAGGAGGAAAGGCGTGTACAAATGTATCAAGGGTTTGGGAGTGAAAAAGGTCACGGGAAGGCCCAGTACAGCAAGCACAGACGGGACAATTTTCTGGCCAGAGAATGTCTCACAGTCTCGCTAAGGACATGCCTTTCCGGTTTACACATGCGGATACTTGTAACAGTTTGCGGCCTACGGGCAGGCTAAACTTCAAGCAGATGTCAGGATGGATGATCGCAATATTTTGTGACAGCAATCGGGAAGAAAACATTTTCAGTGCCCGTTTGAGAAGGAAATTTGGATAGGATAGGATGTGGTAGTAAATAGTTGGGGCGAAAATTACATGGGGTTTAGACTCTAGCTAAAGTTGGATTCTGTTGAATACAGGCCATACAGGACTGTTAGACAGCAAAATAAACTACCCGCTGCGTAAAGAGGCCGTCGTCTTTTTAAACTCTCTGGTGCAGAAATAAGCCCATCATTTCAAGTCGGTTTATCATGCGTGGTGTATTTGTACCATAGCAATGGTAGGGCCAGTACGTAAGCACGGAAACAGTCAGATGGTAACTATTGAACCCCGAGTCAGAACCCCCACAGTGTACAAGGTAATGTTAGCAACACTACACCGCGCCAGGGTAACCGGGACTGTCTTTAGGAGGGAACCAAACCCAGACAAACTGACATTTCGATTTACATCCACTGTTTGTTTCGTTCTGCTCTCATGCGTGAACTGCCCGCTTTCCAAGAGAGCGAGACAAAAGAGGCCCCACACAATAGCAAATACACTGAGTTCGAGGCCACCATGGAAATGTACGGTTTTGCGACTGGGCTCACTGAGACATCGGTCTGACAAAATGCACGGACACAGGGTAGCAACAAGGAGGTTATGGCACTAAGTACTAAACGATAGAAAGATTGTCGTGATCACAAGGTTTGTATGATACTCCCACAAATAAACATTAGGCCGTACCTAGTCCCCTCTACCGAGGCACGACCGACAAGTCGGCCCGTGAACAGAGCACCACTTACCGTGTAGATATACAGGAACAGTACGGGCAGGGGAGACATAATTTCTGACGGGCTGTGGTAGAGCGAGTCGCGGCGATGCTTCCGTGCTGAAGGCCGGGTCCAAACTGTGCCTGCACTGCTGTGGAATGTCGCACTCACCAGTCAACTACCTCCCCCTGAATGCATGGAGTCCGTCATAAAAGTTGTAGGGTGTAAGAAAGGGCCGATCAGAGTGACCGCGTTCAACACTATTACACCGGTTGATTATGCCATTGATCTTCGCGCTGATTGGTTGAAATTGATTCAATCTATCAACGCCTGTCACTCATTTGCCTTATATGGCAAAAGCAATTGTGTCTTTTGTAGGAATCCAGCTGTTCATTTCCCTCCCACTGACTCCTCTCTGGCTGGAGGTTCTTTGAATTTTGACCGAAAGACTCGCAAGCGTTTGGCGCTCGCGACCTTTAGCTGTTGTAGTTTGACGTGTGAATGTTGTCCGTGCAGGACTAGCAGCACGGCCGCGGGGCACGGGCAGTCAGCGGGGGACCAGGTTGTTTACATGTGCGGGTCTAGAGACATGCTCGTAGCCTCAGTTATCTATTACTACCATCAAATAGTATAATCAAGGACATTATACAGAAGTATAATGTTCTGAATGAATGAAGAGCTTTATACCCCCCCCCCACACACACACACTGGCTCTGATTCTGAGGCACCTTCTTGCAGAAACAGTACAAATCTTCAACATTGTGGGTATAACGTTATATACCTGGTTGTTGCTTGCAAGAATGAATGAATGGCGAGTTTTATGACACATTTTTGCCCATTCGGCTAAGTACAGGCCACAACAGAACATGATGAACAGATAAAGTTAACAATGGAGGTAAAAATAAGATTTTTTTCACAGATACATGCATGTACAACTTGAACTAACTACATCGTACTTGTTTCGTTATATGAATTCAACTTCTTGCTTTATACGTGTAGTAGGGATAAAAGAACAGATATGTATTCCGAAGGAAGGGCTGTCTAGTTGACTTAGGAATATCAATGCCAATATGGGTTTTTCCACAGTATTAAATAGGGAAATCGACCGTGTTACGTGGCGACCACTAAGTAAAAAAAAAAACAAAAAAAAAACAAAAAACAAACAATTCATTTCTCTTATGGAGTTCAAAGATCGATCCTCTAACTCCATGATTTCTCTCTTTGCTACACAGTCCACATTTTATTTGTCCTCAGTGAAGCAAGGTTTTAAACCCCCTCCAGCCTTCTTGAAGGTTGAACAACATTAAAAAAAAGAACTTAAAACATTCTGAAGCCTCGCACTACTGGAGGATCGGCTTTTCGAAGTGTACATGTATTTGGCATTGTCTTGCGGCTAACAAGGTCCGGCATTTCAAACCTCCTTGCCGCCACCAAATATCTGCTTGAAGATTTTGCAGGGACAAGGGAACACCTTTTAGTATCTCCGACTCATTTTCAGCGTTTTACTCCCTTTTATCACAACGTTAGTATTTCTAGTACGTTGTAATAAAATACCCTGCACTTCGACCAGTTCGGGAGCGGCAAACTGTACTCTGTAGCTAGCCTCTACCAGGCTTCGGGAGGCGGCTGGAAAGAGTAGAAATTAGCACAGGTGCGGCAAAATGCTCTCTCCCAGCAGACAAACTCCCCTGGCATGTTATCTCTGTATTTGGCCGATTTCTACTCTTTCCAGCCGCCTCCCAAAGCCTGGTAGAGACTACTCTTTAACGGACCAACTCCCCTGGCATGTTATCCGTCTATTTGTTCAATTTCTACTATTTCCAGCCGCTTCCCGAAGCCTGGTAGAGGGAGTAATGCAACGCGAGTTACTCTGGCTCGCGCATTTACTGGCCAAACACACCGCGTAATAAAACATATCATACTAGTAGATAAAACGGTTGGGTAAATTGTGACAACTGTTTGAAATAATGTCCCTGGGTAGATTTTAAACCTCCTTGGGTAGATCAAACCGTTGTTATTCAACACAACTGACCCATTGAACCATATATTGTGACCGGTAAGTTTTAGCTAATCTCCAAGCAGATCCCTTTCGGTGGCAGAAAGACAGTATCAAATTGGCCAGGCAGTTAGCCAGAGAAGGTCGCTGGTCACCGACGGGTTGGTGGGAATAGTGACAAAAAAAAAAAAACAAAAACAAAAAAACAAAACAACAACAACATAGAAAAAAACAAAACTGGCGACAACAACAACAACAACAAAGGCCATAAATAAAAAGCTAACGATCATTCCCCACAACCTCTGCTTGGAGAGTAAATTTTAGCCTCCATAGCATGCCAACAACTTGGGGTTTGGGGGGTCTTCATGGTCTTTGGGAGCTTTTAAGTGCTATTCTGATTTCATATAGACAACATAGCCGGCCTGGTTAGCAGGTTGGCTAATCAGAAAACAGCCGAAGACCACCAAATCCCCAGTTCTATAAGCCTGCTACGGAGGCTGCAACTTCTTACACCGCACGTTTGGTCATTATAGTGGTGCCTTCTCACACACTGCACGAACAAATGACGCATAAACATGCAGCATAGATCTGTCTAAAAGATTACCAAAATGACAAGTGAAGACAGCCTTTTGGTTTATGTATTTCACTGTCAATTAGTACAGAGTCCACGGTAACCTGCCATCGGCACGTGAAGGGTCTGTTCCCTGTAACAATTCATTAGCGGTAAAGCGTTACAACAGGTCGGGAGAGGTGCTGAGTCAGGTCTCCTCCCCAGCGGTCATTACCATCACAAGTCAGCCCGGAATGGCCGGTCACTGTGCGCCTGGCGGGGGGAGGGGCATAGATTTGGCAGTGATTTTACCTCAGGCCATAGCAGGTAAATTTTATGGATGACATCCTCCGCAGACTCCAAGTCTAATGCGAGCGGGCGAAAAAAAAACACGGCGGGCCGAAAAAAAACAAGACGGGCCGAAAAAACAAGGCTCCTACAATTTTGACTCAATCATTGTACAAATGGTTTTGATTCAGTAGGAACATCACATACAGCGCCAGCATCACATATCACTGCATCAAAGTAAGAAACAAAACATCAAATCAGAGCCTTTTCTTGTCTCCTCTCTTTATAGTTATCTGCCATCCACATTCCGGCATGTCAACAGACATCTTTGCCCATTTTCGGCATGTTGCCCGGTGTCAGAAGGCAACAAAATGTCTTTTTTCTTTTTTTCAAAATCAAATGCGCGGGCTGATGTCATCCATAAAAATTACTAGTACTTGCTGTGGCCTCACGACACGGAGGTATTGTTTTGGATGTGTCACGTGTGTATGTGTGTGTGTGTGTGCGCGCGCGTTTGTACGAGCGTAGACTGTAGAATGCATCCGATGCAATATAAAGGCTTTCAAACCGAATTTTCATAGTCAGTATAACACTATCCCCTATAACTATCCCCACGCATGTATTACATTGTATTTTCATATCTTCCGATCGCACCGGAATGTTTCCGAAGATTCCCGAAGGTTTCCGGAGATTTAGTCACGTGATCTTCTGTTACCTTCTGACAAAGACACAGAGCGGCACACACACGAAGCTCCTTGGTCATTCTTTTATTTTTGCGGAGATTTTGACTTTTTGACGATGGAAAGCCGCTCACGAGTAACCAAAGGGGAAACACCGGAAAGGTCCCGCCTGGTGGAGGATGGGAGCACAGAAGTGGAACAGAAGGAGGTACTACAGGGGGGGCCGCAAGCCCTTTTCCGTCAATTTGTCCGTAGAGGCTAGCCTATACCAGGCTTCAATGGCTGGAAAGAGTAGAAAATTATCGGCCAAATAGAGAAATAAGCATGCCAAGGGAGTTTGTCCGTTGAGAGAACAGTTCGGTGAACAGCATGCTTATTTCTCTATTTGGCCGATTTCTACTCTTTCCAGCCGCCTCCCCAAGATCCCCCAAGCCTGGTAGAGGCTACGTAGAGCGTAATCGGCTACGTAGAGCGTAGACGGACCGCTCTCAACTTAGAGCGTAATTGGCGCTTTTTGCTTTATGATGATGCGTAGAGCATAATTCACGTTTTAATTCTTCGTAATGCGTTGCAACCACTTGGAATTTATCGTAAAGCGTAATCGCTACTGTAGCGTAATACTAGTACCATGGATTTCTACCTCCATGGTAATACGTAGCCGGCTCTCAAAATTTGGCGTTGTCGGGACCCCCCATGCAGGCCCCCCTACAGTACTAGTAGTAATAGGGGACGTGAAATCTACCAAAACACAGTAGCAAGAGTAGTAATAAGTTAACATCACAGGGTGCAATATTTCGTCAAGAAATAATGTGTTACATAGGCATGTGACTGTAGATATGTGACTGTAAAAGTGTATTTCGCACTGTATTTCGTACATTTCGGTAAATACACGGACCGATGGACCTCGGTCAACCTCCGCGGTGTAACTGTTTGTCTCACTATTGAACCTCCTTGGTCTCACTTTACAACTTGAGTGTTTGCCAGTAGTGTTGTAATATCAGTAGATTAACCACCACTTTCCAATCCGACAAGTTTGCCTTTAGATGAAAAGTTGGCCGTAGACTGCATTCATCTAGATGAGGGTCTGCATGGGGGGTCCTGATTACGCTTTACGCTAAATTTATGGAGGCCCGCAACGCTTTACGTTAAATTTCCGGAAGGCTGGCAACGTTTTACGCTAAATTTTCGCCTCCTCACTACGAATAACGGTAAATAAAATGACTTCCCTACGAATTACGGGAAATTATAAAGAGGCCGCCTACGCCTTACGGAAAAGAGCATGCAGACCCTCCTAGATTTGAACCCCATTGTCAGTAGACCGAACTTCGTGTGAAATTAACATAACAGTACTAGCGTAGCTTCACCGCTCGCGAATAGCCTCCTTCGCAGACTTGTTGGGGTCGGCGTTACTAGTATTTTTTTCGGTGAGCGACGCGAGTTATGCCGCGGAGGGACGATTTGCTGCTGAGGGAGTTTTTGCCGCGGAGAAACCTTCTCTCCAGTCCATGGCAAAAACTCCCTCGACCGAAGAAAACAAACGCCGACCCCAACAAGTCTGCGAAGGAGGCTAGAGGGATTCACGGGTTGACTGGAGGAATGATTTATATTATTATATATTATAATTTGTCAGTGTCTGATATAATTCTAGTACATGTACCTTTCCCCCTATGCTCCAGGACAGTCCAGGTCGGGCCCAGGTGAACCTGCCAGACAGGGACACGTTTGACGCACTTCGTAAAGAAGAACAGATAAAGATACTAACGGTAATACTGGCAAAGATTTTAACATCAACAATCATTATCATTTTGAAATTTGCATTTGGAACATATAATTCTACAATACTACTCTACTCTACTTATAAATCTTTTGTCACTACCATCGTTTAATTTTGATCCTTGTTTTTCCTTAGGAGCTGACATATGCCATGTCTCATGAGGAGATAAAATCACTACTACTGGACGTGGCGGACAGACGGCCTGATGTCATTCTTCATGCACTTGACATGCTGGAACTGGAAGTTGGAGTGAGGAGGGGGTGAGAGGAGGGGGGGTGAGAGGAGAGGGGGTGAGAGGAGAGGGGGTGAGAGGAGGGAGGGGTGTAAGTTACCCCCACTGTTACAGGGGCAGCGATGGAGAGGGGTTAGTAGCCTGGGGGGACAGGGCAGTGGAGATGGCTGTGTGGGCTACAGGGCTCGAAAATACTGGGCGCATGTGCCCCTTTGGTATGTGGGTAGGTCTTAGGAAGACAAGGGTCAAGCTTGATTTTTGATCTCCTGTCAGATTTCCATGGTACTGTAGCGGAATGTCTGTTTTTTTTGTACCTTGTCCTGTACTTTTCATGTCATACATGGTCAGATAAAAGAGGCATTGGTTTGGTCCTCCAAGCAACTTATACTTAAACTGCACAGGATACTTGTATTTTTGTTAGAAGTTCTAAAAAAGAAAATAACAACAGGTTTTCAGCTTAGATCATTGCAAACGGCTTATTATAATGATTGTATCTGTATCTGTATCGCCTGTATAACCGCATTTCGGCATAACACACCAGCTGTTGTAAAGGGCAATGAAGCTTTTCAATTATGACATGTATGTACATGTATGTATTACCTGGCCTGAGCACATATAGGCAGGTATATGTATTGTACTTTTTTTGGATGTTCATGAATTGTTTCTTAGTGTTTTGCTGTGTCACCCAATTCAGGAGAAGCATTCATGCTCCCCCTGCTGATGTACATTTGGAATTATGCAATAATGATAATAATATACATGTAGTATATTATATACTGTAAAGCACTTTGTTCTCACGGTCTGGGAAAACTGGACATGTTCATGCAACTACAGGTATACATGTTTGCAGTGGTGGCAGGTGTGGAAGAAAGTTGGCAAATTATTAATTTGCTGTAAGACTACACCAATTTAATTTCTTGGTTAAAGGATTCGCCCGCTTCATTTTTTTTGGATTTGCAAATAAAAATAAAAATTCAGAATCAACTGCAAAATTCTCATATTTTGCCCTGAACAGTTGAAAACAGTCCTTTTCATCCTAGTTGTTACAGTTATTCCATCTTTCAATGCAGTGGTATCATTAAAAGTTCACAATTCATTGTTTAAATTTTGAATCAGCCTGGTGTGTTGACTTCATGGCTCCTATCGTACCATTTTGGGCCATAATAGGATGCCTAGGCCTGTTTTTTTTTGCCTGCCCGCTCCATTATTTTTCTAGAAAAATCCGTTAAGGCCACACCAATTTAATTTATTGGTTCTCGGATTCGCCTCTTCATTTTTTTCTGATTTGCAAAAAAAAAAATTCTGGTTCTGAATCAACTCAAAAATGCTCATATTTTGCCCCCAACAGTTGTGGAAAGTCCTTTTCTTCCTAGTTGTTGCAGTGTTTCCATCTACATGTATCAATGCAGTGGTTTGATTAAAAGTTCAAAATTCATTGTTTAAATATTAACACAACCTTTTGTGTTGACTTCAAGGCTCCTATCATAGCATTTGGGGCTATAATAGGATGCCCAGACCTGTTTTTATTTTTATTTTTTTTCGCCCTGTCGCTTCATGTTTTTTCTGACAAAATCCGAGAACCAACAAATAAAATTGGTGTGGCCTACTGATAAATTTGTAGTACAGCCAACTTTGTGTGTGTAAAAGTACCACGAATACAAGGTGATTTACAGTAAGCAATACATTAACAATTTAAATATGATTGATTGAAATCAAGTTTCCTTTCTTACATATTTAGAACCTCTTGATGTCAAAGGGATTTTTGAAATACAACAAATTAAAGTTGAGAAATGACAGAAAAACAAATGTATTATTATTACACATGATCTCATTCTGACCTCTATCCTACACTACTGTGTCCTTTCTTGCTAAGGCCAAACCAATTCAATTTGTTGTTTCTCAGATTTTTTCAGAAAAAATATGAAGCAACAGGGCAAAAAAAACAAAACAGGTCAAGGCAACGAACCCATGATAGCCGGAAAGGAAAATCCATAAAGTGAACATACCAGGCTGGTTAGTGATCAAAACAATAGATTTTGAACTTTCAATGAAACAAAATTGCATTGTCACATTGAAAAACTTTAAGAACTAAGAAGAAAAGGACTTTCTTCAAACGTTGGGGCCAAAAATGTCTTTCATTGAGTATTTTGCAGTTAATTTAGAAAATTTTTTTTTTTGCAAAGGCCATGTTGATTTGATTATATGGATGACATCCTCTGGAAACCCCAAAACTGATGCGAGCGCGCGAATAAAAAAAAGTTTTGCAAAAAAAAGTTGCTTTTATGAAATCTACGTTGTTATGAAGGTCGAACGAGTATGGTATGGCGAATAATCTACTCTTTAAATTCATTTCTTTGCATTTTAGTTTTTTGTTTGATTTTGGCATTCTACGACGTTGGAATCGTTTTCAAATATTTTTTTTGCAACTTTCGGTATATATTTGCTCATTTTGCAACTGTTTTGTACAATTTGCAGTGTGGTTGGAAACTTTTTTTTTTGGAAACGGCCGAAAATTCATGCGCACACGGATGTCATCCATATAATCAAATCAACATGGCCAAATCAGAAAAAAATGGACAGGGCGAATCTGAGAAGCAACAAATTAAATTGGTGTAGCCTAATGACACAAGTGCCAGCAAACCTGCCTCATGTAAGAGGTAGCTTGAATATTTGTTGTTGTTTTCTTTTGTTTGGAAAAAGTGAGGCTGCCTCTGTACTGAGTATTCATAGATAGGGCCACACCAATTTAATTTGTTGGTTCTTGGATTCGCCTCTTCATTTTTTCTGATTTGCAGAAAAAAAAATGATTCTGGTTCTGAATCATCTCAAAAATGCTCATAATGTTATATATTTTGCTCCCAACAGTTGAGGAAAGTCCTTTTCTTCCTAATTATTGTTTTTCCATCTATCAATGCAGTGGTTTAATCAAAATTTCAAAATTCATTGCTTAAATATTAAACTAGCCTTTTGTGTTGACTTCATGGCTCCTATCGTAGCAATTGGGGCTATAATAGGATGCCTAAACCTGTTTTTATTTTTAATTTTTTTCGCCCTGTCGCTTCATATTTTTTCTGAAAAAATCTGAGAACCAACAAATTAAATTGGTGTGGCTTATAGATTGTTTACCGTTACCAAGTACATTTGTAGTTGGAAGTTTTGGAAGCAATGTATATGACTCCTTCCCAATTTATTGCCCCTCTAATGAATTTTGTTCAAAACACACCTCTTTGAAATAAACTCTTAGCTATGTAGCTATGTAAAATACAAACTAAGCTTCTTACAAGACTTTGCAAAATAATCTGTCTGTTATCTTGTCATGTTCATAGATAAACACAAGAAAAACATAAGATCATAAAATAATAGCACAATTTGCAGCCAAAATCTACAGTATTGAAATCTTGAAAACTTTCATAATGTCAACCTACTCCACCTTTTACACTGCGAGCATCCTTGCATTGCATATTTGTCTGCCAGGCTCTGCCTATACACTACACAACTGGCTCCTTTTGTTTCTGAAACTTGCCATTTTTGTTTACTGTAATGAAGAATAAGTACAGTGCTTGCTAGCAGCTTATTACGTTGGTAGTAGTAAAATCTTTGCAGCTTTGATACAAAGTGAGCATTAAATACTATTTGTCTTCAGAAATGATCATGTACCAATGATTCAGAGATGACTCGCATCCAATCTGGTGCTCCAGTCACACATGCCAACCTGATTTTTTTACAAATAGAAAATTTTAAAAATTTGTATTAAAATCATTCATAATAAGGCACAGAATCAGCCTCCTCACATTTTTGATTCACCTTGCTCACTTTCTGACAACAATGACAATTAAGGTCAATTTGATTCCCATACAACAATTTCAAAAGGTTCTACTTTTGAAGCCAGATTTCATATTCTTCAATTTGCCTCTTTGTGCAAAAATGTTACATTGATTTTGATTTGCTAACATATTTGGTTAGCAATAATCTTTTTGGTAGGCAGAATAATTTTAAAATGTACAAATGTCGTTACATTTCAGAGATGAAAGGGTAACAGTGACACACAGGCGTTCTATCAACAACCCTGGAGAAGATAATTTCAGAAATCAGAAACTCTTCATGCCCGTAGCCACCCCCCACAAGGCTCAAAGGTCCACTTTTTGGTCCACTTTTTATGTAAAGCCTACTACTAAAGGTCCAAGATTTTTCTTGAAAAGATGGACTGGAATCATAGAAAAAGTGCTCCCTTTGTCATTGAATAAAAATTTATCTCTGATTTTTTCTTTGAAATCCTCTCAAAAATGCACGAAATGCCATTTTAGAAGGTTCATTTTTCAAAATTTTCCAGGGGAGCATGCCCCCGGACCCCCCTAGGAACCTCGCACCTACAGCGCTCGAGGTCCCCTCCAGCAGTGGGAAGAACCCCCCCATTCAAAATCCTGGCTACAGGCATGAAGATAATTTCAGAAAACAGAAACTCTTTCGCTAGCAAATACTACAGATTTTACTTTCTGGTTTCTTGAGAGGAGAGCTGATAGGCTGAGACCGGGCGCTTGCCGCCCTCTTCTCTCTTGCGTTGGCCCTCAGCTGTTCTGACTGTACCCTCACCAACTGGTCCTGCAAACTCATCATAATATTCTGATTCTCCTTCAGTGCATTACTCTGAATAGTCAACTCTTGACGAAGGATTTCAATTTCCTCTTGCAGTTTGCGTTCCCGTTCCTCCACCACTTGTTGCTGTTCTTGTTCCAGTTTTTGTTGCTGTGCTTTGTAGGTCTCCTGAACCCTCTCTAACTGTTCCTCCGCTCGCTGCTTCTCTTCTTTCAGCCTCTCCACCTCTGTTATTAAGGTGTCCTTGGTTTTGTACATGGGCTTGGCGGCCGGTTTGCCCAGGCCGCCTGGTGGCTCGCTCACGGTTGGAACGAGAGCGCCCGCTCGGCCTCGACTACGGCCTGCACGTAGACGGTTTAGCGGCCGCTGCACACCGGGCATCGGGCCGACCCGCTTCATTCCCTCCTGCCCGCGGTACGAAGACGGTGGCGCCAGTTTCCCCTCCTTGGTGGTGACGGTGGGAAGGGACAGCTTCTTTCTCGCCTGGAGATTTCCCTCAGTGTTTTTGGTGACTTCAGACGCGTTTCTAAGCGCCACTGCCATTTGTTCAGAAGAGTCTGAGCTGGAAAGGTGATCCATTTCATCCGCAGCAAAAGTATCCACACTACTCTCAGTAGACACACGTTTGATTTGATTCTTGTCTTCACCTAGCACCAGAGAGCCGTCTTTTGCCTTTGCTCTTCCCACCGGAGTGGAGGGTTTAGGGTTCCAATCAGCTCGAACAGTTTTCATCCCGTCCTTGTTTTTCAGTTCTTTGTTAATCTGGATACTAGTTTCTACAGATACAATGCTGTCATTCCCGGAGGCTTCTGTCTCTGTTAGAGCATCATCATCAGTGACACCTCCATCATCACTCTCATCTGCGTCTTGTTCATCCTGACTAACCAGTGCTGACGTGCTCAGCTCGTTCTTGATCCATGTTGGAATAGTTCCCTGTGTGTCGTATTCTGAGGCCTCAGAGCTGGTGTACTCATCCCCCGCATCATTACTAGATGCGGAATGGTGCAGATTTCGAGGCGGGACTTCCAGGTTTGGTCCCATTTTCTTTTTAAAGGACCGTTTTTTCCGCGTTCGTTTGCGGGGTGGCGGTGCGGCTGTCTCCACCTGGACAAACAGGTTCTGTCCGTGGGCCACGACGTGGGTGAGCGTGAGTGGGATTGGTTCGGCGCCGGGCGTGCCTCCCGTCCCGATGATGGAGTCACAGCGCAGGATTGGCGTAGGTGTGGTTATGAGCTCTGTCTCCTTGTCACCCAGACTAATGCTGCCGATACTGCTGTGGGAACTGTGTCGTTTGGCAGATCTACCTCTTGTCTCCCTACTGTCTACACCATCTCCACTCACGTTATCTGCGTTCAGAGAAGAACTAGACACCGGTCTTTGAACAGAACTTGCAGAACTGACGGACAGTCTGTTAGTGTCCTGTGTAGGCGTGTGCGCTCTCGTCTCCACGGCTATGTTATTCACACTCCCAGCACTAGTGATGGAGATGTTGCTAGAGTTTCGGCGATGTCCAATGGGAGTGAGGTCCTGTTCTTCCCCGGTGCCTCCTCCTTCAGCTGATTGGTTGTTGTTTTCTTCTGGTTTTTCTTTCGGGCGGTACCGGGTTCCCCAGAAGAACAAGGCGTTCTCTGAGTTGATTCCCACTGCGGTGAACATGTCTCCACAGGCCAGCATGGTGACTGTTTTGTCTGATATCCCAGGGTCTTTGACCTCCATTGGTGCATCTCTCGGCTTGGTGTGGCCGGTCCCGAGTTGTCCCTCCATGTTCCTCCCGAAGGTGTAGACCTTGCCAGGCTCCACCAGTACTGATGTGTGGTGAGGTCCGACGGCCATGTCGATGGCTCTGTGGTTGGTCAGGGCTCGGACAACAGTCGGCACCTTCCTCCCCGGGACTTCCACTTTCTGTAGCAGGTTCTTCATGGCTCTCAGGAAACCCTGCCGATGGTTCAACCCTAGTTTATTACTCTCGTTGTTGCCACATGCCAGGACGCTGCCCATGTCTGTGAGAAACATGGTGCCGTCCACGCCACACTTGACCTCCCTGATGAAGACAGGTTCGCTGATTTGGACCTCCTGCGGAGAGAAGTGGTCTTCCTCGTCTCCCAGCCCGAGGCAGCCGTGCCGCCCGCGACCCCACGCAAACACCTCGCCGTCGCTCCCCACCGCGACCACGTGGTGCGGTCCGCACGAGATGGCACGAACGTCCACGCTTAGGAGAGGCTCGATCAGTCGTGGCCGTGAAGCGCTCATCCAATCACCATGCCCCAGGCAGCCATTACTGCCGTCCCCACACGTCATCACGATCCCATTGTCACTGACAAACACACTAAAACCATCCCCACAGCACGCTCGCACGATAGACTTCCCCTTCAACGCTTCCACCATTTCTGGCTTGCTACGACCCAGAAGGTCCCCGTGACCCAACTGGCCTTTGCTTCCCTCCCCCCATGTGTAGACGGCTCTTTCCATAGCCACGACCACCATGTGTTCTGAACCCACAGCAACCTGTCTGATCTTGATCTTGGCTGGAAGCTCGATCGGTGTGAGTGTCATGGCACACGTGTCCAGGTAGACAAGCACAGATCGAGTCCTACGCCGCTTGCTGCTGGCGAGTTGTTTGGAACCATCCAGGGATGAAGACAACTCATCCTCCCACTCTGTGGCCCCCTCCTCATACCTGTATAACACAACATCAGCAAAACATAAACTAGAAAAGTAACATTTGCAAAGCAAATGCATAATGTTTACCTTCAGAGTCATGGTCTGCTCTGTTCATTCTTACTCAAACACATTCACATACATGTACTACTAGTATATGGTGACAGGAGCAGAGCAGACCATGAAATTGCAACATTATGTAACTCAACACCAGTCACCATGGTGAAAGACATCAACAAATCATGTCATTGGTCAGATCAGAGGTCACGGTTTGGAGAAGAAGAGGAAGAAACAGAGCAAAAACAAGAGTTCCGAGATCTCATACCTCCATGAAATATGGGATTGCCTTGTCAATGTCATACTTCATTTCAACATGTCCTCATCAATTATGCAAATGACATCTACATTAACATAATATATGTATAGTGGTGTTAATCTTACACATGTCACGAGGTATAAAATTCCCATCATTCACCAATAAGGAGTCACAGAATTTTCACATTATGAAAATTAGGTCATCATTAGCATAATTGGTATCTGTCGATATTCCTCCTGCCACAGATTAAATAGATTGCATGTATAAAAGAACTATTATATAAAACACTGTAATTATAGAATTTCCTCCTTAATTATGCAAATTAAGTCCTCATTTGCATAATTTGCATTTAGTTATGCACAACTCTCTCTCTCAGATACCTACACACCAAATATCATGAAAATACATTGTTCCTAACTGGAGTTATTGGCTTTTAAAGATTTTGCCAGAAGTCCCCTGCAGTTCCAGAGCAAGCTGCTAGGGGGACCAAACCCACACCACTTATTCCTGACAGGACAAGCTATCTGTCACCAAAAAGTCAAGACCATAGCATGTTTAGAACAAAAGATAAAAAAAAGGAAATTCTGCTGCAGTAGCAAGGTCATCCACCAGGAGGCCCATATTTGACCTTGACCTTTGTCTTTCCAAGACCTACCAGCATACCAAATATCATGGCAATCCATAAAGGCGTTCTGAAGTTATGCTGACCACAAAGTTGCGGAAACACACACAGACAGACAGACACACACACACACAGACAGACACACAGACATACAGACAGACACGCCAAAAACAATATCTTCATTTTTCATGGAGGTAAAAAATAGATCAACACTTGGCCAAGGGATGTAGCTAATTCATTCTCTCTCTTTGGCTGGAGTTCATTGACTTATTAAACCTCGGGGGCATCACCTTTCAATAGTGACCAAACGGGTTTGTAAGTGTCATTCCATCATGGCGGGACAGTCTGAAGCATAGCCGTCCATGTTTGCCTTTAATATATCGTGAGGGGGCAATGCATCCACTTGACAAAGTCTGGATGTCTGGGGAAGCTGAAGTCTAGCTGGCACTGTGGACTGCAGAAGATTGCTGAGTTGGCATACCGACGGAGCGAGTTGACACTTTGCAACATGCAACGCCCAGAGGCCATAGAAAACCAGACGGCACATTAATGGGGCAACACTTCGTGTATTTCTGCTTCGTCGTCTTCTTGGCCGCTTTGGGATTTTTTGCTAGCAACCTAAACACCAGGTAAGGCTTTTAGCGTCAGAGCTTCCCCACCTCCACTCGTTGCCCTCCTGAGATCTTCCCCACCCCCACTCGTAGAGATCTTTCCCACCCCCTACTCGTAGTTTTTGAGTCACTCTGCCAGTGATGGAGCCCTGTGTTTTTTGATAGGAACACTTTCCAAGCAGAGGTTTGGGTCTGTGGTTATTAGGTTGGCATGTTTTTAGGCTTTTTTATCGGGATTTATCTTTTGTACTGGATTTGTTTTTATGATAACCCTGTAAGGGGTTGAAAATGACACTTTTTATGCATATTGTAAGAGGCCATCGTCTTTGAAGTTTTTGTGGCCAGCATGATAATCTGGTTATGCTAATTCGAGGCTTTGATGATAGAAACATCAAGGACATGGCGGATAGGTGCCAAATGTTGTATTGTTCCCTTGCTAGACGACTGTCTGCATTGCAATCTGTGGCTCTGTCTGTGGTTTGACAATAAAAGCTGGGAGCTCAGTGGGTTGGGGAAACAGTCTAGAAGACAGTCTGAGACAGAGACAGCTTGAGGGAAGGTTACAGAGAAGACTGTCCCACCCCATCGTCTCCCGTGCGTGTGTGACGGCAATGCCTGTGTCCTGCGTGTGTTCTTGCTAGCCCTGTAGTTAGTCTCCCTTGCAGCATCCCAAAAGAACCCGGTGAACACCACCTCGGTTACATTTGGCGACGAGGATGGGATGCTGTGTCAACCAACATCTAGGGGGACGCTGCAGGGCAGAGCCACGCCGGGACCAGGAGGGCCGGAGCCGCGCACGGGAGGGCAGGACCGACGCCAGAGACGAGCGGACCTCGACAGGCGGGCCACGACGAGAGGAGGCAGCGAGCCTGTTTCTGTAGAGCCGCAGGAGAGGAGGGATGTCGACAGGGACCAGAGCGGGGCCGGGAGAGACCCGGAGACATCGGCCAGGGATCAGGGGAAGACGCCGGGCGTTCGGACGGAGGACAGAGCCAGGAGCCGGACAGAGACAGTGAGTGGGCCGGTGTCGTGTGGGATTTGAGAAATTATGCCATGTACGCTCTGACTGACCGCCTATGTCGAAGTTTTGGTCGAAGGGTCTTCTAGCATTAGTTTTTCTAGATTTGGTAGTGTTTTAAAGAAGTGATTAGTGTTGAAAGTGGTGACTGAACGTTTTCGGCTCGGATTTATATTTTTTAGTCTCCTTCAGCAAGAACAAGGAGTTGAGGAAAGTTTGATGTTCATTTTGAAGTTGTAGATGGTTCTTCTGGAGGGTTGGATGTTGGAATCCTGTGGTGTTCGAACTTGGATATATTCATCTGATGTTGGTTTTATAGAGTCTAGTTGGAAACTGTGATGGGTGGTGTGATCCCCGGGGAAACCAGACTTCGGGGGTTGGACTTTAGTCCTTCAGGGGGTTACATCGCCTGGGTTAGATAAAGTCTTGAAGTCGAACAGTGTTTTTCGCTTGTCTGTAATTTGTTCTTTGCACTGGTTTTTCTATATCCTTTTGAGTTTTTATGTTTTTGCCTCTGGAGTTTGGACAGTGAGTCCAGGACTTTGATTTGTTTTGAATATTCAAAAGGTTGACAGTTAGAATATTAAGCAGGTAGTGCGGTGTCTTTTGTTGTCTTTCCCATCATGTTATCTTTGTCCGTTTTTGTTGTGGCTATTGTCTTAGTTATCACTTTGAAAGTGTAAAAAGGACTTTTTAGAGGATGTTTGGGAATGTTCTTCATATGGAATCAAGTAGGATAGCTTGTTGGGAGCTCTACCAACTCCCTCGGTTGAGCAGGGGGCTTTGCCTCACTAGCCCAAGGTCCTGACGCAACCTTGGAGGTAATACCCTACGGACTCCCAGGGCAGAATGTGTATTGAGCGGGCCTGGC